GGAATGATTTCCTGTGGCGCTCTGTAGTGCATCTGGGTGAGAGGAGTCTTCTGCTGAAGGTGCTCCTCTGCTGGGCCAGTGTGTCGTAGAGAGGGTGAGAGACATTGTCCAAGATGGACTGAAGCCTGGACAGCATCCTCCTCTCTGCCACGGTCGTCAGAGTGTCCAGCTCCTCCCCCACTACATCACCGGCCCTCTTGATAAGTTTATTTAGTCTGTTAGTTGTCTGCGACCTTCAGCCCACTGCCCCCTCCACCTGCATCGCAGCCATCTTCTCACCCAGTAGAGCCGGACGGATGGGGTTGAAAGCACTGGAGAAGTCAAAGAACATGACTCTCACAGTGCTCGCTGGCTTGTCCAGATGATTATAGACTCTGTTCAGCAGGTCGATGATGCCGTCCTCAACTCCCAGGCGGGGCTGGTAGGCGAACTGTAGTGGATCAGTGAAGGGCCTGACCAAAGGCCTTAGCTGCTTCAGGATGAGCCTCTCCAGGGTCTTCATGATGTGGGACGTCAGAGCCACCGGGCTGTAGTCCTGAGGGCCGCTGGGACGTGGCGTCTTTGGCACAGGAACGAGGCAGGACGTCCTCCACAGCACAGGGACCCTCTGGAGGTGCAGGCTCAGGCTGAAGACTTGACTTAGTACTCCACACAGCTGGGGGCACAGGCTTTAAGCACCATCAACAAATATATATTAAAAAATGCAAGTGTGGTGCCAACTCTTACTTCACTCCTGCTTTGTGTACTTACTGAACTTCCTAAAGACAGAACTATCAGCACATGATAGTTTAAGCTGCAGTAGGTGCATTTTATAAAAATAACAGTTTGTCTTATTTGCTGAAACTTTCACTATATCCTGACAGTAGTATATGAAACAGATAATCTGTGAAAAAATCAGGTTCCTCTGGCTCCTCCTAGTGCTCCTAATGGCATTTGCAAGAATCGGGCCCGGACGAAAACAACCAATCAGAGCCGAAAAGATAGAAAAACGCTTTGGGTTGGAGGCTTAAAGATAGCTGATTGCTGAGTTTCATTCCCAAAGAATCGGTTTTCGGCAACTTGGGAATGAGCCTCCATAATATCTTCCTTGGCTCTGATTGTTATTTTCGTTAACGTTCCCTACTACAGCTTTAAGTAAGAGCAGAAGGGACAAAATTATATAAATATTCATAAAATGGCCAGGCTAACACTGTGGCCCTCTTTGTCAGGCCTAAGGCCAACCATGTTGTTCTGCAAAAAGAGACCAATGTTCATTGTTGGTAGGAGACATTTTGTGGCACGATTGCGGCCTGTTGCTACAGAGGGATCACTTTAGGCGTTCAAACAAATGACCAGTGCTGTTGTTTTACTAGTTAGGGCAGTTTAGTCTGACTAGCATACCTAGGAATTGTGTCCATATGAGTCTATTTACAGCCAATGCCAATGTTTAGTGCCAATGCAGAAAGTAGTGTGCCCTTTTCTATGGTTAGATGGTGTGGAAGACCATCTCCTCTTTGACTTGCTCTTAAAGTTTGCTTTTTTATTAATCGTACCCTATCATCATTGCCATGAGCAGATATTCTAGAAAGTAAGATTTTATAACTGTGACTGTGCTGTGATCCCCTCGGGATGTTTCCTAAAGATTCCAGGGGCCCTTTGACCTTTTTTCATGGCTCCAACATCAGGCCAAAATGTTTCCTTAACCAAAAAGGTCCAGTGTATAGGATTTTGCCAGTCCCTTCAGGATTTTGCAGGCTTAATAGGGGATTGTTGCAGTCTAAAATGCTTGATTTCACAGCAGCTTTTCTTAAAATTTGCCATGCATGTAAATATTTTTTGCAGTGACAGTCAAAGTTGCAAAAATTGTTTTTAACGTTTTTAATATAATTTATTAGAAATCAAAGACATTGTGTTTCAGTATGAATAAAATTGCTAGTAGTTTGGTGATGTATGGCTCAGAATTTTGTATGAGGGACTGCTATGATTGGTGAAACTTGCAGGAAACTACAATGATTGGTCAAATTTGCAGAAAAGCAACTTCAACAAGGTTGCTGTGTGTGGGGCAAGTTCTGGTGACCGCAAAACTTACTAATGGCACTGTCTAGAGCCAGTGTTTGGTTTGTCCATTCTGGGCTACTGTAGAAACATGGCGGCTCAACATGGCGGACTTCGCCAGAAGAGGACCCGCTCCTTCTGTAGATAAAAACAGCTCATTCTAAGGTAACAAAAACACAAAGATTCTTATTTTCAGGTGTCTATAGACTAATGAAAACATACCATTTTCCATACCAACATCCATTTCTGACAATAAATCCTCCTCAGTGTTACACATTGGACCTTTAAGGCCACAATGTCATCAGAAGAGTAAGAATCCCCATTGAACGTTCCTTTCCAACAGCAAAGCGTCTGCAATAGGTGCTACAATCACAGACATGTTCTACACACAGGTCTTTATAGACAGCTGCATTATTGTTACAAAGAATAAAGTGTATGACATCTGAATCAGGGCTTCAAGCCCAGGAGATTTCAGTCAACTCCCCGGGGCTTGTTGTGTAGCATGACAGATGAGAACATACAGTAATGAGCAGTACACAATACGATATTGTGGAAGATAATAGATTTATGGCAGCAGCAGTTCAGCCTAACTGTACAGCAGCCTCACCTACAGTACAGAAGTTCAGCATGAATCTTTCATCAAGGAGAAAATGAAAGGAATAATAACCACAGTGACAGAGTGAAATTCTTCAGGGTGGGCTGAAAAGCTTTGTAAACACAATTATCTGACTTCCGATTAGCTGATTAGAATGTGTTTGTTTATAAATATTTACAACAGCAAGGCCAGAAAAAACATAGCAAATGCTACATTTGGTGCATGTTACCTACAGTATATGGTAGTGACTACAAACCACTTCAGTACACTTAACTATGCTTCACACATAGATGTGGAATGATTCTTCCACAGTTAGCAGATCTGTAACCATTATGGTTAGAGACAAGAAGCAAGGCTGGATTACAGGCCCCAAAACCTGGGGTCCAGGTAACCTGTGTGTGTCCATTTGTTGGTGGTTATTTGATTAAAGCTGCACTAATCAATATTTCTGTGATAACAATTGATCAAATGGCTCTGTAATATGAAAGGTGTTGCTTGTAGGTGTGAACCCATGCAGAAATATAACCAACTCTTCAGTTCTCTACTGATTTTTTTTTTAGCCACTTTTAACACATTGTTGGTTTAGTTTTAGAGGCCTTATGGTCCAGTATACAACTTCTACAAGTGTGATCCATCAGTGCACATACACTGAGAATGGACAGTGACGTGGGAGATTGGAGGTAGAAGGATTAGATGCTTTTTACATATTATTGTTCCCAGCTGACTATTTCTATATACGTCTTCATGCCTGTCTGGAAGGGACCTTTAACATGTCAGATGTTATGTTTACAGACTGCGGAGTGGCAATAAATAAATAATAACATTTTGCCCCATTAAGGTTTTTCTAACAGTTTCTGTAGTTACTGCTCTCTGCCTTTGTAGGGCAGCACAGGTAACTGAGGGCTGATCCATTCGCACTTTTGACCCGAGTCAAACCATGCTGCTGATTGCATTTCAATTAGCAGTTAAACCACGGCGGGTTGTGCCGAGCCAAGCCGCAGCCCAGATGGATCTTCTCTGAAGTAGGGCCAAAGCGTGCCCGACCAAGGCTTACAGTGACATCTCGCAGGCGACGAACTCTCTTCTCCCCCTCAAAAAACAAGTGTTCCAAGACTGTGGCTGTAAAGCAGAGTTACAGGTCTCTGACTGTTCAGCTCAGTACTTCGGTAGCTTCTAACTGAATCTCTGTGGTTTAGTTTGTCTACTGGGTGTCTGTACTTTCAGATATCTGCTGAGTTTGCTGCTTCATAATAAAAGCTTATGAAGAACAATATAACCCGGGACTTAGTGTGAGGAAATTCTAGACAATCAAATGTGCCCATCACTGGAGTGGAGCTTCGTCTTTTCTTCAATGAAAAAACAAAAGCGACTCTACGCAGCGCAGGAAGGAAGGTGGCTGTGTTGATTTTCGCTGTAGTACGAAACCATCATCAGACAAGAACCTTTTATTAGATTCACTGCTTTGTTCTTGCTAACTTTTCAATCTTGAACTCTCTCGACCATCCCTCTGCCTGTAAAGACACTCGTCCAAGCGGGTAGCCCTGTTGTCACGGGTAGGCGTACTGAGTCAAACCAGCACGTGTGTATATAAAACGCTGTTAGTGTGACAAGTCCTGATTTATTTTGATGTATTTTGCGTAAGCAATCTTGAGTTATGATTATCTGTAGGTTTTGGAAATCACTGACCAGATCGTCCTTTCCATCATATGACCCACACTGATGATCATCTACCTTCACAGAGACACTGAAGGTCAGAAGACACAACAGGACAACGAGACCTGTTAGGTAATTAGGGTGTTAGGGAGGTGCAGATAGTCCATTGATATTCGGAACCTGAGGCTGTTCGAGCTCTACGACTGATGAGCCTGTCTGGAAGTCCAGCTCAGTCATATGTAGGTTTGTAGATGTCTAAAAGGAATTCATCAGTTTTCTGTTAGTGTGGACACTGCTGCTCTGATGTCCTGGCTATGGAGACACCTTGCTCCACCTTACTATACCAGTGTTTCCTCTATGTTGATTTTGGAGCGGCCGCTGTTAAATTTCTGCCGCCACGGTATCAGAAATGTGGCAGATGCACAATGTAGTCACGGTTGCCTTTTAAATGATCCTGCCGACATAATGCACCCCCGTCGGCTGCCGCTCACATTGCACTTTAACAACAAGTAGAACTATTCAGAGGTTATTGGGGCTGTCCACTTTAACTCCACATACTGTTGTGTTGTTCGGACAGGCCTGCCCCCACTGCTAAAACAAATCCTAGAGGAAACACTGCTACACCTTATTTAACATAAATCTTCCATCACACAATAGTTTTTATAATCGTATATTTAACAGCCAAAAACACAAAACAGACAAATATTTGGACACTGCATTATATTAGGATCTGTCAAAGGTTTATTTAAATTAACAGTAATATTTACATCTTTCAACTGACACAATCCAAAATTAAATTCTCAATCAACAACAAAAGAGGAATTCACTTTGCAAAAAGAATGAAAAGAACATAAAGGCTGAATGTTTATGCCTTAGGAAGCTGCAGTATGTTGGCACAAAGTTCTGTGTGACTGCCGGAAAATATTGTTTATGTCTTCACATGTTCCCGATGGGCAGCCTGCATGCACAGGTATTAGAATGCATTATGGTCCAGCAGCAGCAGCAGCAGCAGCGTGTGTGTGTGTGTGTGTGTGTGTGTGTGTGTGTGTGTGTGTGTGTGTGTGTGTGTGTGTGTGTGTGTGTGAGAGAGAGCAGAGAGAGATCCGGCTCTGTAGTTCAGCTGTAGTTCCTCAGGTACACCAGTCTGTGAGGTTGGAACTTCTCCCGACACAGGGGGCACTCTGCCTGTGAGGAAACAACACACACGTGACAGCATTACATTAGCGTACACACAGAAGGTTGAGGCCGTATTCAAGCCTATGTTAAGGAGGGGGGTTCTGGGAGTCTCTGCACACACATTCATTGTAACTAAACAGTTAACCACAGCTTCTGACCCTCTAAGTCCAAGTTTCGGGATCCAGTGTGTGATGGGAAAATTAGCTACTGGCCCCCACCAACCCCTCATCCCTCCCACTCCCTGAGGAGTGTTTTTCTATAGTGGGACTATGGGTGTCACAATATACCAGTATTGAGTATTCATGCTCATAGTACACATACTATAACAGGGTTGTCATGCTTTAAGAAATCATTTTCCAGGATCTCTCTTCACAGTACAGGACAGCACATACCATCATATCATTTACCGGTAGGCCTCATACTGACACCTTTTACCCCAGTTTTATTCCTCCTTTTTTTATGATGCAAGGGTATAGACTCTTTGCTGAAAATATTGCTATATCGATTTTTGGTGGTTTGAATCAATTTCCTACTGTTTCTATGACTGGAAAACTAGTCTCTAATTTGACTTACAGCACTTTAGCACAAAACATTTGATAGACATTGCCATAATATCAGAATTGGGATTTCTTTTGGCCAAGATAATCCTGGTTTCACATTTGCTGTTTGGTAACATGATTTCACACATATTACTTTAGGAATATGGAACATATGAACACAAAACTGAAATTATCAAAGTGTGAAAGTATTGTATTTTAATTCCCAACAACTCCCTATTACTTATGTAGTACAGTCTAAAGATACAGATAGACAGTCATGACACAGGCCTGACCTTCGTGTTGCACCACTCCGTGATGCACTCCCAGCAGAAGAGGTGTCCACAGGGAGTGGAGGTGGAGTTTCTCCTCTCCTCCAGGCACAAGATACAGCGGGCGACTCTGGGCCCCGAGCCCGGTGTGCGCTCAGGGCTGCAGACAGACAGGTCGAAGAGATCGGCATCAAACTCAAGTCATATCATTTATGATAGTGACAAACGGTAACCTCGAATGAGTGTAATCAGCATCCATAATTTTATGGCTCACCTGCTGGCAGAGCAAACAGGAATAATTTGACCATGATCATTTTACTTATCTGTTGTCAGATCTGTGCAGAGTTCAGAGTAAGACACCTCAACAACTACTGGCCAGATTGCATTGGAGTTTTCACTGATATTTTAAGGGAAACTTTAGTATTTCGCAACCTGGACACTATTTTCCCATGTTTTTGTATAAGACTAATGGAGACAAATTCTTAAATTGGCCCAGTATTGTGTGAGAGCGCTAAACAGATTCCAACGCAGTCCTTTGGGGGAAATGTTCAGTCAGTTTACTTTGTCTAAAGTTGCTTGTTTATTTCACTGACATTATTACTGTAATGTCTGATAACATTATATGAAGGACCCCTACTTTTTGTTAAAGAAACAGCCTTATATTTCCCTGTTCAAGTTGTTGTTGGTCTACCGCTGCATTTAGTTTGTTTGGTGTCGGTTTGGTGTTTTTAACCCTTTAAAAACAGCAAAGTCACACAATAACATGAACAAACTAAACCACCAAAGTCAAACAGTAACACAATAAAACTAACCCAGTGGTAGAACAACAACTCCAGTGTTCTGGGAGTTATTAATAATAATAATAATAATAATAATAATAATAATAACAATCTTAGCCTGTCAGAAACAAGCAACTTTACTGGACTTGGATGGAGGGCAATTGACTGGAAGGATTATTGCAGCCCGTTTCATAGCTGCAGAGATCTTGCTCGATACTGAATCAATTTCAAAAATTGCTGTCCCCATGAGTCACATAGACATGAAAAAAGCCAGGCTGAAAAGTACCAGCGATTCCCTTTAAGGTCCCAGGAGGATGAATTCTAACAACACCTACAACGACACTCACTGAAATACTGACAAACCTCTGTTTACTTCAACACTGAAATATTTATTTTAAGAATAAGAATCAGCTGTTTTAAACTGCAATTCAGTCCTGCCATCACCACAAGACAGAGATGGAGGTCTTGACATCTCAAGAGCTGTGTCCTTCCATCTGGTCCTGTACCTGAGATTCCTGTGGAGCTTCCACTCCTGCCGGGCTCTCTGTCTCTGTCTGAAGTTGTTGAGCTGCAGACAAACTGTGATGAGCAGCTGGAGGAGGGACACGACCCCCAGCAGCCTGTAGCTGCTTCTGATGGTTCCGTCATCGCCGTTCAGCCCTGTCACACGCAGCTCACACACACACACACACACACACACACACACACGATGACATAGCTTCACTCCTACATATGTCACAAGCCACCAATTGCCTTGCAACAGCAAAGCGGCATAAAACAGTGAGTAACTACTGTAGAAAAATACTGTTAACTGTTAAAAATATTGATATAATATATTAGGGTGCTTTTTATGCCTTTATTCTGATAGGACAGGTGAAGATAGAAGGGAAAGGGGTGTGTGGGTGGGGTGACTGAACCCAGGCGACTCATTTTAGCCTACATTTAAAAAGATTGTAATCAAACCAAATAGAATTTCAGTTTTTGATGTAAAAACTGCACTCAGTGCCTCTAGAAATGTAAGCCCATAAAAATCCAAGCACACATACACTCAGTTTCCAGTTTACTGGGTCCACCTAGCTGGAACTAATGCAGTGTAATACAACAGTCCTGCATTAAAGCCTCCTTTCATGAAGGTTCTAATGTTCAGTTTTTGTTGAGCTGTTTTAGAGAGGTGTTGATTCGACTGTATAATTATTTTAGAGGATGTGGTTTGTGGTTCTGTTGAACTGTATTTAGTTATAATGAGAGGTGTTTGTCATTTAGTCCAGCCCCACTGATATAAATGAGACAGACAATATATTACATTGGGTTAGTTTTAGCTAGGTGTACCTAATAAGTGGCAAAAATCTTACAATAAACCATTCCATTATGGGCAGCAAACTCTCTTCAGGATGTTATTCATCACACACTGACATCCTGCCTACTCAACAGATGGTAAACTAATTAACTACAGTGGTTAGGAAATGTGCTGAAAAACAACAAAAACGGTGGGGGAGTAGTGATTGGACTAAAATGACACTGTTTGGGAGGTTTATCGTATGAAGTTGACATGCTCTACTTTATCTTTTGACATGATTCTATATATGCTGTGTATGTTTTGGAATGAATGTATGCAGGCACACTATGCGAGTACGGAAGCTGTCCCTCGCTGCCTACTCAACTCCTTATTTTCCTAAGTGAGTCTGCAACTGCTCGTCTTCAGCTGGTTCAGAATGCGGCAGCCAGGCTTTTGACAAATACTAAAGAGAAGAGAGCACATTACCGTCACTCTGGCACACTCAAGATCCTCTTGATCACATTCAAACGCTTTAACGGCACAGCGCTGTTTTACATTTCTGAGCTTCTAACACAATACTCGACACAGATCTGCACACCAGCTGCTCTTAAATGTCCCACGGTCTTGGCTCATAACAAAGGGGAACTGTGCTTTTAAGGTTTTAGCTCCAACACTATGGAACTGCCTCCCCCTCACTGTCAGGTCAGCTGAGACTGGAATGCATTTTTAAAAACAAAAAAAACCTTTCTGCATTGCCTTTCTATTGTTTTTATTGTTGATTATCTGTTTCTGTTCATTGTTAATTGTGAAGCACTTTGGAACTGATGTTAAAAGTCCTATATAATTATGTTTTTTATTTTCACTATTAATAATAACGATTTAACCTATAAGGAAATGAGCCATATTAAAAACTTATTAAAACCACATTAATCTGGGGACAGGATTGCTGTGAATTAGGGCTGGACCCCAATATTCCACTATTATATCAATTTGTTGGGTAGGTATTCGCTTGATAATTTTGGGATTCAGATATACGTGCACACACCTACACGTCTATCTCTTACTGCACGCTGCTGCGCATACACACACACACACACACACACACACACACACACACACACACACCAGTGTGCCCCGCCCCTCCTCTTTCTGCTTCTCTTTACTTATATCATATAGGGACACACTCATAGGCTTTGTTGACCCTCCTTTAAAGTCGGACAAATAAAACAACTCGTGTTTTGGATTTTTCTGGCCTGTGAAGTAAAAAGTCATGCTCAGCACCCATCATGTTGTTAGAAAATGTTACACTTTATAACGTATTATAGTCTTCAGACGGGTCCAGATCAACATGCTGTTTGGTCCGGGATAGGGACTGAGGCCCAAACTTTCAGAAGCCCTGCACTGAAGAGTGTAACTAAAAAGCCCAACCAATAAAAAAAAAAAAAAAAACATGACCTGATTACAATGGATATTTAGTTGAGAGAACACATTCATGTGAGTAGTATGAATGCAGAATTGGTTATATATGTGAATGTATGAGTGGGGCCTACTTTACTGTCGATGCAGTCTAATATGTGAGATATATTTGAAACACGTAAGGAAATCACCTACATAACTGATTCCAGCCGCCCTCTTAGACAGGTGATAGAAGGAGCCGCTGATGTAGAAAAGAGCCACATGGAGTCTGTGCAGGAGGGTGAGACCCTGCTGGAGGATGAACACGGCTGGCAGGCACGCCCTCCTCTGAGGCTCGGACAGCAGCCCCACCGCCCTCTGCATCAACCTCCTCAGCCAAAACTCAAGGCTCCACACTCCGGACGCCGCCTGCCGCCGACCGACACCACTGCGGCTCTCCCGCCCGCCTTCCAGCTCATTCTCCAGGCACACCAGGACCTTGTCCAGGAGGTAAGGGAAGAAGGCGTGGCAGAGGACAAAGAGTCCTCGTCTGACCCGAGAGGGGATTTGACGTTTAGTGGGATCCACCTGGACGATGTTGACATATTCCTCGCCCAAGGTTTGGTAACCTGGGGAGGAGAATAATAAAAAACCAAATATTTAATCACAAGATAAAGTAAAGTGAGATTTTGTGCTGGTTTGGTCAGTAACTACCTGAGAATGTTGTTAAGCCATAGTATGCGAGGTCTGACAGCAACTCTATCTCTCTCCTCCAGTCCAGCCATCTTTTGGACCCTACAGAAAGAGAAGACAGAATTGAGAACAATTTCCTACACAGCTAGTTGATGTTTGAACAAGCAGGTCTGCATTCATCCATCCAGCAAAGCATTTATGTAATAGTAATCCATTACCAGGAATTAATGGACTCCTCGTCGGGCATTATCCCGTTTATACCATGGTAACTTGCTAAAGAACAAAAAGTTAAGACCTTTAATCTTTTGCAATCAAAATCTAAAGTTTTTCACACGTCATAACTCTGTTTCCCTGGCAACACCTGAGTCACTTGACTAACACCTGGAATAATCATTACCATCCCATAAGGTTCTTATGCAATGAAAATTGCAATATTCAATACTCCAGTAAATAGGACGAGCCTAAACATACGACACGCTCCCTCCGCTCAGAGAGCTAACATGATTCTAGCTAGATTCAAAGTCAATGGCCAATCAAATGTTAGCTCTGAAGCTACATGTTAAAGTAAAGTAAGTTAGCTAAAGAAGCCGAATGCTAATTCTCACTAGTGTTAAATATGAACAAACTCACCAGCAAGTGTTTGAAACGCTTCGTTGGCGTTGTTTCTGAGGAAGGTCTGATAATATTCGTCCTTTTGACTGGACCGGATGAACTGGGACTGGTTTGCAGGAGCGAGGGACATTGTCAGCTAGCATCAGAGAGCTAATTTCAGATGCTAACATTCCCAAACCGAGTTACAGTTCATGGCGAAATGTTTCTGACCACTGGCAGGAGTTTTACTTCCATACAGTAACGTTAGGTTGTACACTAGCATGTAGCATACAAAGTGCTAAATGCTCAGACTAGCAAACACTCAAGATGTCACCGGGCAGCGAGCAAAACACAACAAACTAACCTAGCTACCATATTGTGTCCGTGCTGTGTATTCTGTAATATTATCCTCTCTTATCCGCGTAGAGTAGCTGTTCAGTTTCATGCAGCCAAATCAAGTTACACACTGGAAGTAGATGCCCTGAAAACTGACAATGGACCTCACAGTGCCACTTACTGGCTGGAGGGGGTATTACAGGCCCACTCTCAACTAGAAACGGCGAATGAAGTATAAATTATGTATTTCCAAACAGGGTATTTCAAAAGGAATTAGCCTTTGATCTCATTATCTGACTATGTTTTTACTTATTAATACCTAATTAATGTTTGAAACCAACGTTTGACGTTTTTATTTGATTTAATTTTCATTGAATACTGGTTTTATTCTAAGGTCGTAAGGCAGGCCTTTTTGTAAAAATACTATGGCTACACAATTAATTGAAATATTATCGAAATCACAGTATGACCAAATGCAATATCCAAATGGCAGAAGCTGCAATGTGCAAAAGTGAGTTGTATTTGTTTTGCTTGTTAAAAATCCTTTTCTATAACTGCAGTTACAGTTCCGTCATTCATTATTTTATGAATTTGGTTTATTCTGTATGTCTCTGAAAGTTGACCTGATTTTTATAATGAATATGAGCAATAGATGGACTCATAATGCCTCTTTGTTCTCATTCACACTTTAAAAGTATTAAATTTGAAGACTTTTGAGTTTATTCCTGTGACTCTTTGTCCTCAGCCTACAAGAAATTGCCTCCCTGTTGTTGCTGATACGTCTTCTTTCACCACCACCTGGGGGGCCGAAGTCTTCAAAAACTATTAAGGTGATTATAATAATTTGTCATCTCACTTTCTTGGCCACGTGTGTAAATTAGGATTGTTAAAGTGGATGAAATTGTCTTCATAGGCTTTCCTTTATCACACTAGCCAGGGAGATGTTCGAGTAATCACTTTTTGTACAATAATGTAGTTTTCTCTCTCTGTTTCTTTATCTCAGCCTTAGTCTTGCTACAGTTTGGAGGATCATCTCCCCAACCAGCAGGATCAACAGCCATACCTCCTCGCTGTTGGGCGTCAGAAGAACTGGATTGACAGCTTCTACATCACCATGGATAAGCGTCTCATTTCATGCCAGGCAAACCACTCACTCAAGCCTTTTGATGAACATTTTAAAGCACATTTTGCCTTTAATTTGTATGACGATAAGATTGTGCATTGTTTTATACATGAAAAGGCAAAAATAAATGTTATTTTTGAAAATTGAGATTATTGTAATCAATTGTTATAATTAATATTTAAATTTTTAAAGGGAATAAAATGAACTCCACCCAAATAGTAAAAAATTTAATGAGCAGTGTTATGTTGTATCACTCACTGTTAATTTAACCCTCTTTTGCGAGTTAAAGAAGGAACTCTGGCAAAGTGTTAAATGTTTAACTATTTCAAAAGTGTTAATTTAACTCTGGAGAGTGTGGAGCTATATAAACCCTGAAAAGGTGTTGAAATCAACTCTGTGGGAGTTAATTCAACACTGGATTTTTGCTGTGTACTTATTGACTGACAAACTTTAGATAAGGCTCCCCCCAAATTTTCTAAAGATATGTACTGAGGGATGACCTCAAATTTGACATTTCTGTATTGATATTTTTGGCTTGGCTTAATTATATATATATATATATATATATATATATATATATATATATATATATATATAATGTTTTATTTATAGACCATTCGTACAATAAGAGAAAGATGATGTAAAATACTTGAAGTTGAAATTGAAAAAAAAGAAAAGAAAATACATCTGCGATAAATAAAAGGAGCAGTGTGTATGATTTAGTGACATCTAGTGGTAAATTTGCAGATTGCAACAAACTAATCAACTGCTTGCCTTTCCAGCTTGTAGGAGAAACTATGGTGGCCTTGAAACCTGTGAATAATGCGAAAGGCCAGTGTTTGGTTTGTCCATTCTGGGCTACTGTAGAAACAGTAACGAGAAAGAGGACTTGCTCCCTCTGTAGATGAAAATAGCTCATTCTAAGGTAACAAAAAACAAACTACAAACTAAATGTTACACACTGGACCTTTAATATTGGCTGATATATTGACCTGGACTGGCAGGTAATGCAACAATACAACCTGCTAAATATCCTAACATCTGACCAACATAATTTAACAACTTTAATGAAATTATATATCTTTTAACTGCACTTTCAAAAATTGCATTTACTGCAATGTTGCACAGCAGCTAATGTGACCTCTTGTACAAGTTGCTACAAGGCAGGTCCCTGTGTGAGTAGGTTAAGTGCATTCATTCATTCACTCATTCAAAGCCCCAGCAACTCTGCTGTGATCTGGATCTGGAAAGTTGCAGAACCAGTTTCTTTGTCTCCTCAGTGCTGCTCCCTGAGCCAGCCAGGTGTACTATAACCGCTACGGAGAACATCCCATTATAAGCCCACTGCTATCCTTTTACAGCGACTTTTCTCAGCACTCGCATCAACCCTTGGACAGTCTGTCCCACCATCCTGCATACCAGGAAGTTGAACTTTGCTCTTAGTGAGGGGAGGAGCTGGGTTTTTCCCTCTCCCTCCTCCCTTTAACTCAGGAGCTACTTGTAACTTGTTACAGATGGAAAGTGGATGGCGTATGGGAAGCACTTTGCTGCTTGGACTAAACCACTAATGAGCACCCGGGGAGAGTCTGGGATCCTGACAGGTAAGACACAAACTTTGTTGGATGCATGCACCTTGTGTTCGTCTACCTGCAGGTTTTGGCTGGTTTCAAGGCATCAGCCCGGACATGATCTGGAAGGCTGATAAGAACGCTTTAGTGATCAAAGCTGCTGTACTTTGTCATTTAACATGTTCAAATAGGAGCGTGTGTTGTGATAAGGAGTTCAGAGACTTCAGACCATTCATCTGAAGTTGATTCGATTAGACAAGAGAAAGGTAAATATCTTCATTGACACATCAGTCAGCTGAAGATTCTCTGTAGAACTTTTTTATTAATGGATTTTACATTAAATAAATCAGTTGCATTATTTTCACCATATTTGAGCTAGATGACTGAGCAGATCTGATTCATAGAGGCCAACAGATGATGATAACAGATAACCATGACCATGACCATGCAGAGATAAAATTACAGTTACGGCTTCCAATACATAGCTGAGGTGCTACTGTATCATTTCAGTCTTATTAAGAGAGCCATCAAACACTGCTGCAAATATATATTCACTGAAAATGTTGAGGATAACAAAAACATTTAGAAAAATAACTTGGTCCTATTTCATTATTATTGTGTTGAATGCCAACAATGCAATGCAACATGGGCTAAAATAGGCCAATATCAGTATTATTCAGTGTTGCTTCTATTACAGTAATCAGAAATGAAACTGTGTTAGTGAAGCTAAACCAAGTACACAAGTGGAAAATAACAATAGCTGCTGTGGAGCTGCTGCGTGGGTGGCAGGTTGTTTGTAAAGGGACATCCTTAAAGGACCCCATCACACACACTAGCAGGCAAAAACAAACACACACACACACACACACACACACACACACACACACACACACACACACACACACACACACACACACAGAACTAAAAGGAAATAGGAACTGAGGTGACACCTGCTGAGGAGACACAGAGGAAATCATGTCCGTAATAACCTCAGACAACATCTGTTTTAGCTGTAGTGTCAAACATATGTCATGTCTGGGATTCACACTAACCCCCCCCCACACACACACACACACACTCACACACTCACACACTCATATACTCCTCTCACAAACGTTAAGTGCAATATATATGCAATATTCTGTATGTTGGTTGTCTTAGGTGCATCCAGGGTCTGTAGACCTGTGTGGAAACCCCAGGGGGTTCCATGAGTGCCTGAGGTGCTTTAGGGGCCTTTGAGAGAAATCCAGAAGTCCTTGAACTGCTTCTACAGGCAGTTAATAAGAGTTGATAAGAGTTCTAGAGGTCTTTGAGGGGTTTCATATGTAATTGGTGAGGTTTCAGAGGACTTTAAATGGGATTTATAGATGCTTGAGAGGTTCTTGGGATCAATGAAAAGGTGGTAGAGTTTTGATTCATCTAAAAGTCGTTGGTTTAAATACCTTCAAATGTTTAAAACGAGCAAAGGAAAGACTAGTTTGAAGTTCAAGTTTATTGTCACATGTATAAGTGCAGTGAAATGCTTCTGCCCCTGCAGTCTTATCCTTTATGTACATAAATAAATACACACCAACCCAATCAACACCATAACATTTCCGTCAACAACAACCCTCTCAGCCCACATAATACTAACACATACAACCCACCTAACCATATACCCTATGCACTCATATATAACATTGGATAAATAATATTTACAATAAGTAATAAGTGCATATGGGAAACTTTTATTCTGACTGCTTGTGGGAAAAAAAACTGTGAAACAGGACATATAATGTTTTTAGACGGAAGGAGACCATGAGCAGGACGGCTGTTGTTTTTGATGATTTTATGGGCTTTTGTTTTTGCACCGAGTGTTGTAAATGTCCCACAGTGTGCCAATGATGTTTTACAGTCCTGTGATACAGCCTGCCAGAACACTCTTGATGATGCATCAGGAAAAGTTCACAAGAGCTCTTGAGGCGCCTCAGGAAGAACAGCCTCTGCTGTGCCTTCTCAAGGATGCCCTCTGTGTTGAGGGACCATGTGAACGTGTCTGTGTCTGATGTGTGTGCATGGAAATTTAAAACTGCCCATAATTTCATTCGATGACCAGCTGGTCGAAATAAGTGTTTAGTTTAAACAATGATTTCTTTTGTCTTATTTACACTAACCCTATGGGGTCTAATGCCATTTTCTTGACTTGTACATGTCTTTTTAAATTCACCTTTGAAGCGATTTGCATAACATGATATTCCCATGTGTTTTTTAACAAAATTTGCAAATAAAAATCCTCAGCTGTCTGTATAATGATGCACTGCTTGTTCTAGAGCACAGTTTAAAGAGATAATTTGACCCTAAAGCTGAAAAATTGAAGTCAAATCTTTTCAAATCTGAAATCTTCTGAAAACACATCTTTACACATGTGGACCAGTTATTTGATTGCTTGAAGTGGGTTTATCAAAGT